ATCTAGTGGCGTATCAAGTAGCGCTTCCTCCTGAAATGGAGCATATGCATAACGTGTTCCATATTTCAATGTTGAGGGAATACCTTCGGGATCCCTTCCATGTGATTGAGCCTACCCGTGTAGTGCTAAGTGATGACTACACCTATGAAGAACGACCTATTCAGATTGTAAACAAACGGATCAAGAAGTTGAGGAATAAAGAGATTCCGTTAGTGAAAGTTGACTGGCAAAACCATGGTGGCGTGTATGCCACTTGGGAGAGGGAAGATGATATGATCAAGAGATATCCTGAATTGTTCCCACCGAATCTTGTATTCTTCCAAAATGAAGGTAATTCGAGTTTGGAGGACCAAACTCTTTATAAGGAGGGGAGACTGTGACAACCCTCGCCACTGTTTACTGATAAGACCACTAATTAGTGCTAATCCATGATTAAGCATGCTAACTGACTGATTGACTGAAATCCTGAACTGATTGATTGAACGTATTAGTTTGAATGAATTTTTATCTGTTTGTCAGTGAACTATCTGTTCGTGTTTTATGTTTAAACTGCTAATTGAAGGCCTTATCGGCGGCCGAATCCGAAATTGCTTAATGTTTTATACTCGTTAGAATTTATGTAATTTTATGGTATATTTAATTGAAATGTGATTTGGTATGATTAAACTAGATTTAATAATGGTAAATTACAAGAGTTGGCCTTAATCACCAAATTGCCATCTAGTGGATTTGTCTAGGCAACCCCTCTCCACTTCATACATGTTGATACAACATTTCTTCAGCTCATTTCCTAGAGCAAAACCGACTAGAGAGAGAGAGGGAATTGGGAGAAAATAGAATTCATCAAAGATTGCTTAGAGAATTTGAAGGAGAATTGCATATTGAGCTTCTACATCTTGAACTTAAGACATAAGGTAGAGAATTTCCCTTCTTGATCATGAAATTTAGTAGATTCTTGCATGGTACATGGTAATTGAGTGAGTTGAGTCAAGAATTGGGTTAAATTGTTGAATTGGAGCTTGATTCATGCATGCATGTGCATATCTTGAAGTTTTGAGGTTGTTTTCATGGGAATTATTGCATGCATGTCCATATTATTGTTATAATCCATGAATTCATCATGTTTTTGGAAGTTTAGACTCAATTGAGCTTGCATTGAAGCTTTGAATTTGGTTGAGCACTTGCATGTTACATTTGAGTCTTGTTCTTTTATTTGGAAATTGTGTTTAATTGAACTACCTTTGGGCTTTGATTTCTCAAATTGATCTTTGAAACATGTTATTGACTAGCTTGCTGCTGCCATCTTTCTTCAACTTGAACACCCATTTGTTCTGTAATGCTTTTCGACCCTGGGGAAGTTTCACCAAATCATAAGTCTGATTCTTCTGCAAGGATTGCATCTCTTCTTGCATAGATTGCTGCCAGCTACTCTTCTCCTTATGATTTTGAGCTTCTTGAAAACTTTCTGGCTCCCCCTCATCGGTAAGCAAAATATACTCAGAAGCAGGGTATTTGGATGACAGCTAAACCTCTCTTGTTGATCTTCGTAACTGTGGACCAACAGTCTCTGGTAGAGGGGGTTGTGGCTCCCCCTGCTCAACACCCTCTGCTTCTAGATCTTCTTCTTCTAGAAATCCATCCTGCAACTCTACATCATTAACTGCATGCTGCGGTAACTCTTCTTTATCAGTGGCATGCTGTGATGGTGCAGGGTTTGGAATAATTTCTGAAACATCATCAACTTTGGGTTTGGCTGGTTGCCCAAAGTCTTCGAAGGTCTGGCCTTCTTGAAACACCACATCTCGGCTTTGAATGACCTTCTTACTTTTCGGATCCCATAATCTATATCCAAATTCTTCATCTCCATAGCCAATAAAGATGCATGGAGTGGCTTTGTCATCCAGCTTCTGCCTGTGCTTCTTGGATACATGTGCAAATGCTTTGCACCCAAACACTCTCAAGTGAAAGTAAGAGATCTCCCTTCCAGACCATACTTCTTCTGGAATCTGAAAATTCAGTGGAACTGATGGCGATCTGTTGATCAAATAGCAAGCAACATGAACAGCTTCTCCCCAAAATGGCTTTGGTAGCTTTGCCATTTTGAGCATACATTTGACCTTCTCCACAATGGTTCGGTTCATTCTCTCGGCTACACCATTATGTTGTGGGGTTCCAGGAACAGTCTTCTCATGCCGAATACCGCGAGTAGCACAGTAGGCTTCAAACTCCTTTGACGTGTACTCGCCTCCATTGTCTGTTCGAAGACACTTCAGCTTCTTTCCGGTCTCCCTTTCCACCATAGCATGGAATGTCTGAAAATGTTAGAACACCTCAGCTTTGGTCTTTAAGACATAAACCCATACCTTCCGTGATGCATCATCAATGAACGTCAGGAAGTTTTTTCTACCACCCAAAGATTCCACTTCTATGAGACCGCAAACATCAGAGTATACTCTACTCAACAACTCTGATTGTCTTCTGGATGATGAATGGAAAGCGACTCTATGATGCTTCCCAAACAAGCAGTTGTCACAAGGATTTAATTTTGCATCTTTGGCAAAGGGAATAAGTGACTTCTTTGCCAAAATCTACAACCCTTTCTCACTCATGTGACCCAGCCTTTTGTGCCACAAATTTGGTGATGCCTCATCTTCTGCTGTATTGAGGCTATCTGAATTCACCTCCACATGAGTCTTGTATAGTGTGCCAATTGCCTATCCTTTGGCTACCACGAGAGATCCCTTTTTCAACCTCCATATGCCTTTGTCGAAGTAGTTCTCATAGCCTTGTCGATCTAAGGCTATCCCTGAGATAAGATTCAGGCGTAAATCGGGAACATGCTTGACATTTTTCAACACCATCGTGCACCCAACTTTGGTTTGGATGCGAACATCACCAATTCCCACAATCTTCGAAAAACTGGAGTTACCCATCTTCACTGTACCAAAATCTCCAGCTTGGTACGTACTGAAGAACTCCTTCTGGGATGCAGCGTGGTAGGAAGCTGCTGTATCTACCACCCACTCGGTGTCGTTGTCTGACATATGGAGGCATTCTTCTTCTTCAACAGAGAATAATGCAATATCCTCTGAGACAGTAACTGCAGTGTTCCCATCTTCGGTCTGTGACCCTCCTGGCCACAATGGTAACATTTGAACCTTGGCCGGCTCGTACCTTCTTTGGATTTCCCTTTGTCTTGAGATCTTCCTCTGCTGCGTCCTCTACTTTTGCTTCTTCTCCTGCCCCTGCCTCTGCCTCTGCTTTTGTTTTCTGTGACGAGGGCATGGGATTGATCTCCACCAATTTCTTTTTTTCTTGCCTCTTCACTAAATAAAGCATCTGTAACTATGCTCATGGTCAGTTTCCCTTCTGGGGCAGAGTTGCTGAGGGACACCACCAATGTCTCCCAACTGTCTGGCAAAGAACTGAGCAGCAATAGGGCTTGCATCTCATCATCTAACTCCATTTTGACAGTTGCTAGTTGGTTCACCAGATTTTGAAACTCACTGGTGTGTTCAGCAATAGAGATACCGCCTTTCAACTTCAAATTCACAAGTCTTCTCATCAGGAGGGCTTTGTTCCGGGCAGTCTTCGACTGGTACATGCCTTCTAACTTTGTCCAGAGAGCATAGGCATTAGTCTCCTGGGTGACATGGTGGAAGACACTGTGATCGATCCATTGTCTAATCTGGCCAATGGTCTTTCGGTTGTTCCGCTTCCAGTCTTCATCTTTTTCCGTTGGTGGTTTAACTCCATTAAGCTCAATGGGGTCAAACAAATCTCGGCAGTACAAGACATCTTCCATTCTGGGCTTCCAAATGGCATAATTGAAAGCATTTAACTTTATCATGGAACTTGAAGTCGACGTTGATTCCTCCATTAGACTTCGCCGTTGAGTCTGGACTGATCAAATTACGCTAAAAAGCACTTTGGATTGCCAAAAGAAAGACTGCAAATTTTTGAAAGCTAATTTAAAAAATCTGACCGTACGGATGTGTTCAGAATATTCCAAATAGTTGGAAAGCGCTATTGGATCACCCAAATCGGACTTCAAATGGCTTAGATCAAGCCAAAACAGATTGAATGGTTCAGATCGGCAGAATCTGGTGTGGCTGAGAAGCACCAGATTATTTCTCCGGTTCAGCTGGCGTCGGGCTGACGTCAGCGGCTCGGTCAATGGTTTTGGCTTCGTCCCGGCTTGGCTTAACGGCTCAGCTTCGATCGGCTTGGTTAGCGGCTGGAAGGCTTGGCCAACGGCTCAGATTCGACTCGGCTCGGCTGAAGGCTCGGCTTGGCTGATGACGTCGGCTGGCGCGTATGCGCGTGAAATCACGCTTCTTCTTTCCTTGGAAGCGCGTGAGGCGCGTGTGAGAGTGGGGGCGCGTGGGAACGGCATCACAAAGCGCGTGTGGCGCGTGTGTGGCCGTCCGATCTCCGTTTTCGATGAGGTTTTCACCTCTGTGCTCGTCTCTTCGAGGGCTTTAACTTCGTCTGATCAAAAGTGGATTTCAACCGCTTTGGTTTCTGGGCATTTCGAAAAAATGCACTCTGTTTTTTCGAAAAAGACTCAACTTACCCTGATACCACTTTGTTAGGATCAAACACATCCAAAAAAATTATCTCATACACACAGAGAACACAATATTTACGTGGTTCGGCCCAATGCCTACATCCACGGACAGAAATGAGAATTTTTCACTAAAATGGAGCAAAATACAAATACAGAGGAGGAGATGAAACTCACTCAACTCACTGCTCTCACTCTCCAATTTCTGATACAATACATCATCTCCCTCCCGTCTCTATTTATACACAAAGAGTGGAAAAGAGAGATACACCAACCCACCAAAAAATTTCAACCCTCTTTAATGGTGAATGGTAAAAATCAATAGAGGCAACAGCGGGAAGGGAAGGGAGAGCAGATGCCCAGTTCAGACTTTCACTTCTCTTGAGGTGGAAGTCTTACTAAGCCATCTTCTTTGATGCATGGTTTTGCATGCATGTGGGTTGGAACAACACTCCAATGTGAATCAAAAGGCCAAGGTTATGGTTCTGTCAAGAAGGTAAGCACTTCTTTGTTAACTTGTTATCTTGTTCACAGTATTCTGTTTCGTCACAAAATAGGGAACAGAATAAAAGAGATTACACAGAAGTTAGATGCGATTGCTGCTAATCGTAGTAAATTTCACTTGACCGAGAGAGTTGTGGTGGAGTCGAAAGTTGAATATGATGTAAGCCGTGAAACCAGCTCCGTTATAACTGAACCACAACTCTATGGAAGAGATGAAGATAAAGAAAAGATTGTCAAATTTCTGGTCGAGCATGTATGTGATATTGAGGATGTTTCTGTGTATCCTATACTTGGTATAGGCGGGCTTGGAAAGACGACCCTCGCGCAAATGGCCTTCAATGATGAGAGGGTCAAACACCACTTCGATCTTAAAATTTGGGTTTATGTTTCTCAAGATTTTGATGTGAAAAGCGTGATCAAAGCAACAATAGAATCTGCAAATGGAAATGCTTGTGAGGCAGTTGACCTAGACTCACTGCAGAGAAGGCTTCGTGACATGCTGAATGGAAAAAGATACCTGATTGTATTAGATGATGTGTGGGACGAAGATCTAGACAAGTGGGATGCTCTCAAGTATTCACTAGCATGTGGATCAAAAGGCGCTTCCGTAGTCGTCACTACTCGTATTGAAAAGGTTGCATCTATTATGGGAACTATTTCACCGCATTGCTTGTCAATTTTATTCGAGAAATATTGTTGGTTGTTGTTCAAGCAACGAGCATTTGGATGTGGAAATGAAGAACATCCAAACCTTGTGGCCATCGGGAAGGAGATAGTAAAGAAGTGTGGTGGTGTGCCTTTAGCTGCAAAGGCCCTCGGAGGGCTAATGCTCTTCAAAAGTCAGGAAAAAGAGTGGCTTCATGTTAAGGAAAGTGAAATTTGGAACTTAACCCAGGACAAAAATTCCATCTTGCCTGCCTTAAGATTAAGTTACTTTTATCTTCCATTGGAATCAAGACAATGTTTTGCTTATTGTGCCATTTTCCCAAAGGGTTCTGAAATTCAAAAGAGAGATTTAATTTATCTTTGGTTGGCTAATGGCTATATTTCATGCAAAGGAGGATGGGAACCGGAAGATATTGGTGATCAGATTTGGAATGAATTATGTTTGATATCTTTTTTCCAAGACGTGAAGAAATATTACAACGATATGTGTTTCAAGATGCATGATCTTGTGCACGATCTTGCCCAATCAATTATGAAGGATGAATGTGAAATGATCGAGTTTAACAGTTCAAGTAATATATCCAATGAAAAAGTTCGCCATGTAACATCGGTTGTCGGGCGTGGGGATAATTTTAATAACACATTTCACAAAGTTGTATCCTTACAGACATTACGACTGAAACTTCCGACAATTTACTCATTAGAAGATGACAAGTTTTTGTGTGATTTCAGAAAGTTTGGTTCACTGCGAGCTTTTGATGCAGGGGGCAATCGAATGGTAAAGTTGCCATCTTCAATTGGCAACTCAAAACATCTGAGGTATCTGGACCTTCATTCTGCTCGTATCAATCAACTTCCTGATTCAATTTGTAGCCTCTTGAATTTGCAAACATTAATTCTAGACTACTGTGGGTATCTTCAGAGATTGCCCCAGAACATGATGTACCTGAGAAGTCTCCGACATCTTTATCTGTTAGGTTGTCCGTTAATTGAGATGCCCCCAAAAATTGGGCAGCTAACTAACCTGAAGACATTAAATACATTTGTTGTGGGTAAGAGCACTGATTGTAGTCTCCTAGCTGAATTGAAATGCTTAAACCTTGGAGGAGAACTTCATATCAAGCACCTTGAGAGAGTGAGGAATCCGGTGGATGCAAAAGAAGCCAATTTAGTGGGAAAGCAAAATCTTAGTCGGTTGGAACTAAATTGGGAATATGATTGGGCTGAAGCTGAATCACAGGAAAATGTTGAATCTGAACTAGTACTCAAAGCCCTTCAACCTCATCCAAACCTAAAGGAGTTGGATGTAACAGGGTATAAAGGTACTCGATTCCTGCTCTGGATGAGGGGTTCATGTCTTCAAAATGTAGTTAAAATCGATCTCTCCTGGTGTAAAAACTGCTTACAACTTCCACCGCTTGGACAACTACCTTTGCTACGAAGCCTTCTTATAGTGGGAATGGAAGTAGTGGAGTATATTGAAAACGAATATCCTGGAGGTGGAGGATTCCCATCTTTGGAAGAGCTCAGAGTTAACAAATGTTCGAAATTGGAAGGTTTGTCAAGGGAGGAGGGAAGAGAGTTGTTCCCTGGCCTTCGTAAGATAGAAATTGGTGATTGTCCTAAATTGAGCTTCCCGCATCTTTCGTCTCCCAAAGAATTGTGGTTGGATGGCAAGTGCACCATGGTACTAAATTCAATATCAAATCTTAGTAGTCTCACTTCCCTAGATATTTGTGATGATAAAGAGACGGATTGTTTTCCAAAAGAGTTTTTGAGGAACCTTACTCTTCTTGAGTCACTATCGATTTCGTATTGTGAAAAGCTTAAAGTGTTGCCTGAAGACCTTGCAAGCCTTGTCACATTGAAGTCATTGAGTATCAAAGTATGTGAAAAGCTCGAGTCTTTGCCAGAGGAAGGGCTACGAGGCCTTGAATCTCTCGAATCGTTAAGCATTTATGAATGCCAGCAGATTGCATTGCTTCCTGCAAGTATTCAAAGCCTTACCAAACTCCAACGCATACAAATTGAGTTTTGCGGTCGTGAACTGGGAAGGCGATGTGAGAAGGGAAAAAGGGAGGATTGGTATAAGATAGCGCACATACCAGAAGTCTCTATTATTAAGGTATATGATTCTTCTTTTGCTCACTGTGTTATTAGTTGGTTTACAGTTATGACACACTATATTAAAGAAATAGCCAAGGTGTAACCCACTTATAAACAAATAATTAAAAAAAAATCACCAAATAATAAATTAACATTCACCTTAATTTGTTTAGTATCTAAATTTGAGTTCGTATATTTTCTCCAATTCGTAAAAGTTGTTAAACAAATTAATCTCAATTTGATTGAGATTTCAACAATAAGGCTCCGTTTATTCCGCTATAAAATATTTTTTCATGTAAGGTGATTTTGTCCAAAAAGAAATTTTTATTTTTAGATGTTTGGTTATCACTAAAATATTTTCTACAACAAAAATATTAATAAAGAACCAATTATAAAGTAAACTTTAAAAAGAAGAAGAATAAAGAAAAATAATATTCATATATATAATTTTCATGTAGAATTAAACATAAATGATGTGACAACAATTTTCTTACAATTATGAATTATAATAATGAAAATTTTGATTTTTAATGAGTGGATATAAATGTAACATACCATTATATAGAGATTTTTTGTATACAAATTATGTTTGTATATCATTATTCATGGGATAAAAAACAACTTTAATCCTTAAAGTATGTGTTTTTTGTTATTTTGATTCCTTAACCTTCAATTTTGTTATTTTAATCCTCAAAGTTGTCAATTTAAGTAAATTTTGTCCTATCTCTAACGTCCGTTTACATTGATAACAGAAAAAGTATTTTATCTTTGGGTAAAAGACAACTTTGGTCCCTAAAGTATGCATTTGTCGTCATTTTAGTTCCTCAAATTTTAAATTTTGTCATTTTGATCTTTAAAGTTATTAATTTAAGTTATGACTAAATTGACTCAAATTGATAACTTTGATGACCAAAATGACAAAATTTAAAACTTGAGAGACTAAAATGACAATAAACGAATATTTTAGGCACAAAAACTATCTTTTATTCATATTCTTGCTATCAATGTAGACGGATATTAGACTTAGGACCAAATTGACTCAATTCACAACTTTAAGTACTAGAATGACAAAATTAAAACTTAAGGGACCAAAATGAAAAATAAAGCATATTTTAGGGACTAAAACTATCTTTTATCTTTATTCAAGAATAAAATAAGATAAGGATTGAATATAACAAAAATAATAATCCCAAAACTTAATTTCGAACAATTGTTTAACCATAATATATGTATAGGTATATGTATATATACATATATGTATGTAGAGAGAGAAAGGAAACAAAGACATTCAGTGTGTATGAAAACAATGAGGCTTGATATATATGTCTAATAGTATTGACGGTGATAGTTTATGGCGAAATAAACCTATCCTAAGACATTAGGTGTAATACTGCACCCGGACTTGTGTGATGAATAGTACCTCTCATGACAAACATTTGTCATAAAATTGATTAGGCTTGACATGTTTCGCATGATTCATAATTTGAACTTCAATTTCTATTGTCAATCACAATTATTGGTTAAAAATAGTTACTTGTTTTCTTTGAATTGTTTTTTGTGTTTTTTAAAGACAGCTTGCCCAAAGAAAATTTTCACATTCAAGTGTATCCGAACTACTTGAATTGAAAGAACATATTTAATGATTGGTTTATTCAGTTCTAAACCTGGCCTTACTTTAGCAAAATCTGAGCTAAATGTTCCTCTTCCAAGCTCCTTTCCATCAATATCGTCAATTGCTTCTTTAACTTTTTTATAGCTTTCATCGTCTCAATTATGTTTCATCAATAATGCATACATACATAGTTTGTGAGAACAGTCATTTTGAAATGGTGGTCAGCATATCTAACCTTCAGCTAGCTCATACAAAGCAGGACAGATGTGACAAATTATTTGAAGAAGGCAAATCATTTGTTTTTTTGAACTTGATTATGTTTGAAGAACATAAATCATTAATTTATTTTTAACCAAAGTTATCTAAGATGGTCTGTTTGGATTGATTTTGCTTCAAAATGGCCTTAGAAGCATAAATGTCTAAAGTTTACTTTCTATGTTGACGGTATGAATTTGTGGTTACCTATGACAGGGTTATTTTTCTGACTCATCCCAGGAACTTGATAGCTCATTGAGTCCTCCATGCTCCAGAGATTGTACGTTTCATCTTTATAGGTTTTTGTTTTCTTTGTTTTTCTGTGTCATTGGAGGTAACATTATTGCTTTTGTGATAGCAGGTGCTGCCATGCTCTTTAGGTCATGATGGCTGCTGCTAGTATTGAAGTGGCTGTGGCATCGGATGTGTTAGTTTCTCTTTTGTAGAATAAAGGTTAAATACAGACCTTATTTGTCAGTTGTTCTGTTATCCGACTTTACTGTGTTAGTTTCTCTTTTGCAGAATAAAGGTTAAATACAGACCTTATTTGTCAGTGTACTAACGTTAATGGCGGTGTATACTGGGAGCTCTAGCCTGCTGTATGACCTCTGTTTGTGCTTTCTATTGTTTGCCATGATTTGAAGATTAATTTCTGCATATAATTATTTGTGAAAATGTTAATTTTGAAGACTTTTACTTGTGTCATGAGTTTTGTGTGGATTATAGCTTGCATAAACTCTACAAATTAATTGTCAGTGTGTATGGAACTCCACGTGGAACACATTTGCGCAGGTCACGCTTGACCTATTTCAATGCCAAGTTGGTAGTGACCTATTTCAAGGCTGGGACTCGCTGTTATAATGAAGAATGATGATATTAACACTATCTAGCTAAAATACTAAACCCCCTCCTGGATTTTCAAAGCTATAAATATCTAAATTGATATGAACTCATAAGCTCCGTGTCTCTCAAAGGGTAATAGAAACTGTGCACAGCATATTGAAAATGTCTAAAATCAAGGAATACACATAGGCCCTGAGAAATTTCCTTTCATGTGAGCCCTCTCCATACACCAATTGGTCATGTGACGAATGCAACAAGCTAGTATTTATATTGGTACCAAAATCAAGGATCAAAGAACAGGACACAAACTATTTGAAAAAACAAACAAACAGAAACTCTATTCATCTTGCTCCTAAACAACTTAAATTTTCAGTTTTCACACTGAAATTAACAAACAATTGCTAAATGTAGTTATAAATCTCCCCTAGATTGTACATATAAGCTAAATTTTCACTGTGTCCATTGATCTGTATGGGGAACAACATGGTAAACACAGCATCGCTAACCCAGAAACTCTCATTCTCTAAACTATAGCATACATATATATATAGTTATGTACAGCTTTTATTCTGACACTGTTCACTGTTGATTGAAATGGTAGGGATTGGTTCTTCTCTCTTTCCAATGGTATTTAAGCTTGGCGGTTTGGCTGCTCCATAATAAAAGAATGCCATTATTTTTGACAACTCATCTGCTGTTCGAATCGCTGAATTACAGGAAAAAATCAATTATAATACAATTATTATGATTCAAGGCTGAGGCTGTGTCAAGAACATAATTTATTTACTAGAAAATTTACCTTTCTCACGGTATAAGATCTTTCCAGCTTTAGTGAAGATAAGCTCTGGGAAGATGGACACTTGTAGAGGAGAGACCAAATCAAGCTCAACAACAGCATCTATTGCAACACACTGTTTGGTAGTTGAAAATAAAATAAATGTTAAAGGGTGGGATGAGGATAATAAAAAATAAGTAAATGGCTCTACTTACTCTTGGTGATGGTAGCCGACAGTTCCATATGATATTTATAGCTTTCTCCAATTCATCCCGCATCCTTTCATTTTCCAGTGGTCTGCGGAGATTCATAAGTTTTCATTAAATAATAAAAATATACTCTATAATAAATCTAGCGTTTTTTGCTATAAAATCAATCATGAAAGTTTGACATCTCATTAAAAATGCACCATGGGAAATCAACATCAATAAACATTGCCAATTGATTGACCCAACCCTTTAGAAATTAAATAATAAATAGAATTTTTCTTTCCCTTCCTTATTAGACAGTGATTGCTGTAAGCATACAAGAAATTGTGAAAGAACACTCGACTTGAGTAGTCGTAAATAGCAATATAGAAAAGTGTGAAAGGTCAGAAGTTCAATTAATCCATGTGCATTGACCCATTGGAAGTGAACTTCTATAAGTAGAATGAGAAGATTGAACACAGATTCAGTGTGTAAACCAGATAGCCATCAATCACATAAATTGAAAATTGGTACACAAGAAGGGTAGTTGTTACCAAGGAATATATAGAAAAGCGACGGTTTTAGGGATTAGGCTAAACCTAGAGAGAGATGCTCTAACGATTGGAGATGCTCTAACAATTCCAACTATCTGTTCATATCAATTAACTAAAAGAAGAAAAGTTAAAGCAATGCACGTGTGACATTTTTCTACAAGTTCTTTTAATTTAATGTCACTTCTACTTATAAGAGCATTTAAAATCTTTTATTAATTTTTTTCATCTAATTTAATTATAAATTTGAGTAAAAGAATTGATTTGATAAGAACTGTTCCAATCCTTTAATCAAATTTTTATCAATTTTTTTTAAAAAAAATTCTCTCTTATCTCAGATTTCTCTTTTCGTCAAATTTGATGGGAAACAAAAAAAATTGATTTGATATACATTTAATGAATGAAATGGGAATAATTTTTAACAATAATTCTTATTTATTAAATATGCTCCTAATTGGATTTTTTACCCATTTGCGTGGAGTGATGCCCACCGTGCCAGGTTTTACTTTATGATCGGTTGACGATTTAAACTTAAGCATTATACTTGTGTTTGGATCATGTGTTTGGATAGAAATTGAGAAAAGAAAAAAGTAAGTGAAATATAACTAACTATATTTCATTTGCATTTCACCAAATTATTTTTGGATCTAAACACAACCTAACAGAATACATCAATAGCTGGGCCAATTATTTAATCTTTAAATTATGCTCAAGCATCGGTGGATTCTTTAACCTATGGAGTGAAACCCAATATGTCAAGTTACGAATGGTTGGATTCTTTAGGCTTTGGACTAAAACTCATTTACCAAATAACTTGTCTTATATTTATATAATTAATTTTTTTTATTTATTTCATCATCACTTTTGTCATAATAATTAGTTATTCAAGAATGCATACCATTTCATTTATACCATACACAAATTATAACATTTGTGATGTTAATTACTACAAATGTCATAATAAAAAAAATGAGTCATAACCAAATACCATATAAGATATTACTAAAATAATAATCTCATATTTAATGGTTATCAACAAAAATATCTTTAGCATTAAAATTATTAAACTAATCCTCTCATTAATATCATTAGTTACAGGTGAGGTCAGTGTAATTTCATAAAAACAAGAGAAAAAAGATTACTATAATTTACCCTTCTTTCATTCGTATATCTCTTCTAATGATCATGGTATACAGATTCCTGATATGAGTTGTCCTTATAAAGGAGGCCGAGGTCGGTCTCATTCTGAAAGAGATCAACTCACAATGGAACATCATTTTCGAGTTGATATTTTTATGGTTACAGTTGATTCTTAGTTACAAGAATTAAACAATAGGTTTAAGGAAGATGTAATGGAATTGCTTGTTCTTAGCTCAGCTTTGGACCCTAGGGATGGTTATAGATCATTCAAAATTGAGGATATTTGCAAACTTGCAAATAAATTTTATCCCATGGATTTCTCCGAGCAAGAAAAATTGCATTTGAAATATCAGTTGAAAAACTATAAGCTTGATATTTCCATATTTCCCGAGTTTCAGAAGCTGTCAACCATTTCTGAGTTATGTCAATTGTTGGCAAAAACAAAAAAGTTGACAAGTTATCCTCTTATTGATAGATTGATCCGCCTTGTGTTGACTTTACCTGTTTCAACTGCTACATCAGAACGTGCATTTTCAGCTATGAAACTCATTAAGTCTAAATTGCGCAATAGGATAGAAGATGGTTTTCTGGCTAGTTACTTGATTACATACATTGAAAATGACCTTGATCGAGGGTTTGATGTAGATTCTATCATCCATGCTTTTGATATTATGAAAGAACGTCGAGTTCAATTGAAGATGCCTAATTTTAGTATATAAATGCATGTAGAAATAATTACTACTTTTTGTAAGTGAATATGGGCAAAAAAAATTCTCAATTGTATAATCATCTTTCGGTACTCAACTATGTTGACAAGGAATATATAATTCAATATTTTATCGTAACATTATTGATTTTTTCCATGTTAGTAGAAATTGGTATTGAACTTCAAATTTTATTTGTTAGAGGTTAAACGTACTTTGGCCTCCCCAAAGTCATAATCCTGGATCCGTCCCTGTCTATAGCTGGGCCAATCATTTAATCTTTGAATTATGCTCAATCATCGTTGGATTCTTTAACATATGGAGTGAAACCCAATATGTCAAGTTACAAATGGTTGGATTCTTTAGACTTTGCACTAAAACCCATTTACCAAATAACTTATCTTGTATTTATATAACTAATTTTTTTAGTTATTTCATCATCACTTTTGTCATAATAATTAGTTATTCAAGAATACATACCATTTTATTTATACCATATACAAATTATAACATTTGTGATGTTAATTACTACAAATGTCATAATAAAAAAAATGAGTCATAACCAAATACCATATAAGATATTACTAAAATAATAATCCCATATTTAAAGGTTATCAACAAAAATATCTTTAACATTAAAATTAGGGATTTTTATTGATAAGTCCAATTTAGAAGTGTTTTAACCCAAGAAGTCCATGAAGGAATTTTTTAACCCATTTAGTCTCATGTATGTATAGTTTTATTCCATAAAGTCCATTTTCTTGATTTACACTATTTTCTTGGACACTTATGCCCTTATATGTAATTTTGATACCCTTATAAATATTTTTTGAACGATTAGCAATTTAATGATATGAACATTCATATTTTAAAATTCACATTGGTAGGAATGTAAAATTGGCCCGTGGGCGGCCCGAAACCCGGCCGCGAGTCGGGGCGGGCCCGGCCCGTTGACAATGTGAATATTCACATTGACATATTAACATTCACATTGATAAGAGCATAAAATTGGGCCGCGGCCCATGGGCGGCCAAAAGCCCGCACGCGGCCTGGGGCGGGCCCGGCCCGGCCCGTTGACAATGTGAATATTCACATTGACATGTTAACATTCACATTGATAGGAGTATAAAATTAGCCCGCCTCGTGGCTGCCCAAAACCCGCCCACGGCCCGTGGGTGGGCCCGGCCCGGCCTGTTGACAATGTGAATGTTCACATTGACATGTTAACATTCACATTGATAAGAGTATAAAACTGGACAGCAGCCCAGGGCGGGCCCGACCCAGCCCGGCCCGTTGACAATGTGAATATTCACATTGACATGTTAACAGTCACATTAATAGGAGTGTAAAATTGGCCCCCGTCCCGTAACGGCGCGAAACTCGCCCACGGCCCATGGGCTGCCCGGGGCAGGCCCGGTTCGGCCCATTGACAATGTGAATATTCACATTGACATGCTAACATTCACATTGATAAGAGTATAAAATTGGGCCGCGGCCCATGGGGGCCAAAAGCACGCTCGCGGCCCGGGGCGGGCCCGGTCTGGCCCATTGACAATGTGAATATTCACATTGGCATGTTAACATTCACATTGATAGGAGTGTAAAATTAGCCTGCACCTCATGGCTACCCAAAACCGGCCCACGGGCCGTGGGCGGGCTCGACCCTGCCTGTTGACAATGTGAATGTTCACATTGACATGTTAACATTCACATTGATAAGAGTATAAAACTGGACAGCAGTCCAGGGCGGGCCGACCCGGCCCGGCCCATTGACAATGTGAATATTCACATTGACATGTTAACATTCACATTAATAGGAGTGTAAAATTGGCCCCCGTCCCGTGGTGGCGCGAAACCCGCCCGAGGGCCCATGGACGGCCCGGGGCGGGCCCGATCCGGCCCGTTGACAATGTGAATATTCACATTGACATGTTAACATTCATATTGATAAGAGTATAAAATTAGCCCGCGACTCATGGCCGGCCAAAAGCCCGCCCCTCTAGCCTGCTGTATGACCTCTGTTTGTGCTTTCTATTGTTTGCCATGATTTGAAGATTAATTTCTGCATATAATTATTTGTGAAAATGTTAATTTTGAAGACTTTTACTTGTGTCATGAGTTTTGTGTGGATTATAGCTTGCATAAACTCTACAAATTAATTGTCAGTGTGTATGGAACTCCACGTGGAACACATTTGCGCAGGTCACGCTTGACCTATTTCAATGCCAAGTTGGTAGTGACCTATTTCAAGGCTGGGACTCGCTGTTATAATGAAGAATGATGATATTAACACTATCTAGCTAAAATACTAAACCCCCTCCTGGATTTTCAAAGCTATAAATATCTAAATTGATATGAACTCATAAGCTCCGTGTCTCTCAAAGGGTAATAGAAACTGTGCACAGCATATTGAAAATGTCTAAAATCAAGGAATACACATAGGCCCTGAGAAATTTCCTTTCATGTGAGCCCTCTCCATACACCAATTGGTCATGTGACGAATGCAACAAGCTAGTATTTATATTGGTACCAAAATCAAGGATCAAAGAACAGGACACAAACTATTTGAAAAAACAAACAAACAGAAACTCTATTCATCTTGCTCCTAAACAACTTAAATTTTCAGTTTTCACACTGAAATTAACAAACAATTGCTAAATGTAGTTATAAATCTCCCCTAGATTGTACATATAAGCTAAATTTTCACTGTGTCCATTGATCTGTATGGGGAACAACATGGTAAACACAGCATCGCTAACCCAGAAACTCTCATTCTCTAAACTATAGCATACATATATATATAGTTATGTACAGCTTTTATTCTGACACTGTTCACTGTTGATTGAAATGGTAGGGATTGGTTCTTCTCTCTTTCCAATGGTATTTAAGCTTGGCGGTTTGGCTGCTCCATAATAAAAGAATGCCATTATTTTTGACAACTCATCTGCTGTTCGAATCGCTGAATTACAGGAAAAAATCAATTATAATACAATTATTATGATTCAAGGCTGAGGCTGTGTCAAGAACATAATTTATTTACTAGAAAATTTACCTTTCTCACGGTATAAGATCTTTCCAGCTTTAGTGAAGATAAGCTCTGGGAAGATGGACACTTGTAGAGGAGAGACCAAATCAAGCTCAACAACAGCATCTATTGCAACACACTGTTTGGTAGTTGAAAATAAAATAAATGTTAAAGGGTGGGATGAGGATAATAAGCAGGCGGGGTTCAGGCCGCCCACGGGCCGCATTCTAATTTTACACTCCTATCAATGTGAATGTTAACTTATCAATGTGAATATTCACATTGTCAACGGGTCGGGCCGGGCCGGGCCCGCCCCGACTCGGGCCCGGGCTTCGGGCTGCCCACGGGTCATGGGCCAATTTTACACTCTTGTCAATGTTATTGTTAATGTTAATATGTCAATGTGAATATTCACATTGTGAACGGGCCGGTCTGGGCCTGCCCCGGGTGACGGGCTGTTTTCGGGCCGCCCACGGGACGCAGGCCAATTTTACACTCCTATCAATGTGAATGTTAATTTGTCAATGTGAATATTCATATTATCAACAGGCCGAGCCGGGCCTATTTTTTTGGCCTGTGGGCCGACCTGGCCCGACTCGAATTTTTCCGGGCACCCACGAGGATCGACATGGGCCGGGCCCCTACACATTGACGATATAAACATTTACGTTGACGATGTGAACATTCACATTAAGGGCATTTTGGTAATTATGTCACCCATAGGACTTATTGAAATATAAGAAAATAATATGAACTAAATGGAACATAAGTAGATGAAAAGGGTATTTTGGTCTTCTTATCTCAAATTGGACCTAATGGAATAGTAAAAAAGAATATGGGTTGGATGGAATAAAGCTCTTAGAAAATGGATTTATCAAAAAAGCTCCCTTAAAATTATTCAACTAATCCTCTCATTAATATCGTTAGTTATAGGAGAGGTCAGTGTAATTTTAGGAAAAAAAGAAAAGAAAAAAAGAGAGAGAAGATAACTATAATTTACCCTTCTTTCTTTCATATGTCTCATTTTTATATCTTCGAATTTAACATTTTTTTTGGTCAACTAGAGATAGGTAGTGGAAAATGAAGATGAAGAAGCCCACACAATTTCCTCGAAACCCTCAATTGGCCACTACCCTACCGTTCATCCATGTGGTCGCTGTATATACTTCGTCAATTAGATCTCTCCTCAGTACAGGTCTTAGATTGGAGAGTATTGTCTGGACTTATAAAGCTCATTATGTGTTTTATTTTGATAATTTAAACGATTTATTTTAGGGGAATTTTTTTTGAGGTTTCTGGTATTAAAATTTTATAGGATAAATGACATGTAATATTTTCATAGTGATCGAGGTCTCTCATCATTTTTCCAGAGAAATTTCGATCTAGAGAAATTTTGATCCAAAGAAACTTCAAAACACAGAGAAATTTTAGACAAATTTATTTGTGTTTTTCAATTTCTTTGGTTTGCTCAATTTCTCTGATTTTCTTTGTGTTTTGAAATTTCTTTGGGTTGAAATTTCTTTGGTTTGCTAATAAATTTCTCTGTGTTTTGACCAATTTTCTTTGGGTTGAAATTTTGCTCACAAATTTCTCTGTGTTTTGATCAATTTTCTTTAGTTTGAAATGTCTCTGATTTACTCACAATTTTCTCTGTCTCCGTGTTTTGACCAAACCAGAGAAAATTGAATATATTTATATAAAAAAAAAAAAGTATAGACGAGAGAGGGGGTTGCTTTTGCTGGGTTAGGGTTTCAGGTCATCTTGTGATTGTTGAGGTAAAGTTTCTTCAATCTTAGAAGCTCCTTCTGCTTACTCGAACAAAAAAATGCTATTGCCAATACATCAACATAAATTCTTCAAATTGTTATACATTTTAAAATCTTAAATCAACAAGCACACCATTGAATCAGTGAACAAAGCTCATATTTTTACCTTGAAGAAACTGAAATCAATCGGAGTGAGCGGTGGTGGTGGTGTTTTCGAATCGCTCTTTGCCATTCGTTGTCATTTACCAACGCATCTCTTGCCTCAACAACCTTCCCTCTAACTTTGACTAAGTATTCCTTTTCCATGGCCCTCTACCTACACAAAAGACGATGGAGAGAAAAGAGAGGGCGGAGTGGAGGCAACGACGAGGACATCCACCACCACGCGCCGCCGCTCCTACGGTGTTGTTGCATTGACGACTCTAGATCTAGAGAGAAGATAAAGATAGAGAGAGGAGAGAGGAGAGAGGAGAGAGGAGAGAGAATGAGAGAGTGGTGCGATATATAGGTGTGGGTGAGGGACCGTAGGTTACAAAAAAAACTATTGTGAATCTCTCCCATTACTAAAAGTTAGAGAGGGATGTTAGAATAAATATCCCTTTCTTCTAAGTCGATCCGATAATTATAGCATATATATTCAATTTATTGCATTTATCTTCTAAAAAAAAGCCTGATAAGTGTGTTTTAAAAAATAAATCATCTATTTTTTATAATGATAAACACAATAAATTAAATAAGTTATGATTATCAAATCGATCTAATTTTTTGTATAGATAATATACACGAAATATTTTACAAAATGAACATTTCGAATTATCAAAACGAGACCCATAACCAATCTCACTAGCAAAATAGCACCTCTCCAATCCAAATGGACTAGGTCGTTGTGAATTCGTTATCAATAAGGAAGACTTGTAATATGATGTAATATATGATATATGAGTACGGTAAGGTCCGAACTAGGCAGTTAATGAAATGAAATGAAATGAAATGAATTTAAGTTATTTTTCTAAAGCCTACGGCCGTTTAACAAAGTATTCTGTTAGTTGTCTTCTTGCACAATTAATTCTAGTGTAGGGATTATGGAAACCTTTATTTTTGATATCATTTCTCATTCAGTTTGGCAAAAAAGCATTTGGAATTTTGAAAGCTTACCTTTGAATACAGATGGCTAGCTAGCAAGTCACCATGGCTGTCCCGTTTCTTCTTCCCCCTGTGATTAAAAATTTGAACTCCTTGCTCCAAAATAAAGTGGCCTTCCTTTGGGGTGTTAACAAGGAGATGAAAAAGCTTTCAAGCACTCTCTCCACCATCCATGTTGTCCTCGAAGATGCAGAGCAAAAACAAGCAAGACAGAGCCATACAGACTTGGTTGAAAGAACTCAATGATGCAACCTATGAGGCAGATGACATCTTGGACCTCCATCCAATGCCAATTTGAAGGCCAGGGACCTCCCTCTGCTTCTCTCATGAGGAAGGTACTCTCTTATTTGCCAAATACTTATGCCTCTCCCAATATTTTGTTTCGTTACAATGTAGGGAATAAAATAAAAGAAATTACAGACAAGTTTCGTGCGATTGTTGCTAATCGTAGTAAATTTCACTTGAACAAGAAGCAAGTTGAATATGATGTCAGCTGTGAAACAAGCTCCTTTATAACTCAACCACAACTCTAGGAAAGAGACAAAGATAAAGAGAAGATTGTCAACTTTCTGGTCAAGGATGTTGAGGTTGTTTCTGTGTATCATATACTTGGTATAGGAGGGCTTGGAAAGATAACCCTTGCGCAAATGGCCTTCAATGACAAGAGGATCAAACACCACTTTGATCCTAAAATTTGGGTTTATGTCTCTCAAGATTTTGATGTGAAAAGCGTGATCAAAGCAACAATAGAATCTGCAAATAGAAAAAGATGCAAGGTTGTAGACCTAGACTCACTGAAGAGAAGGCTTCATGACATGCTGAAAGGAAAAAAAATACCTGATTGTATTAGATGATGTGTGGGACGAAGATCCAGACAAGTGGGATGCTCTTAAGTATTCACTAGCATGTGGATCAAAAAGCGCTTCCGTTATCATCACTACTCGCCTTGAAAAGGTTGCATCAATCATGGGAACTATCCTACTGCATCGTTTGTCATTTTTATCCGACGAAGATTGTTGCTTGTTGTTCAAGCAACGAGCATTTGGACGTGGAAATGAGGAACTTCCAAACCTCGTGGCCATCGGGAAGGAGATAGTGAAGAAGTGTGGCGGTGTGCCTTTAGCTGCAAAGTCCCTCTGAGGGTTAATGCGCTTCAAAAGTGAGGAAAAGGAGTGGCTTTATGTTATGGAAAGTGAAATTTGGAACTTACCCCAAAACAAAAATTCCATCTTGCCTATCTTAAGATTAAGTTACTTTAAACTTCTATTAGAATCAAGACGGTGTCTTGCTTATTGTGCCATTTTCACAAAGGGTTCTAGCATTGAAAAGGAAGATTTAATCCATCTTTGGATGGCTAATGGCTATATTTCATGCAAAGGAGGACGAGAGCGGGAATATATTGGTGATCAGATTTGGAATGAATTATTGAATTTCTTTTTTCCAAGACGTGGAGAAAGATGAAGGCCAGATATGGAGCAAGATGCATGATCTTGCCTAATCAGTTATGAAGGATGAATGTCAAATGATGGAGTTTAACAGTTCAATTAATATATCCAACAAAACAGTTCATCATGTAAGATTGGTTGTCAAGCCTGCAGATAGTTTTAATAGCACATTTCAGAAGGTTGTATCCTTAAGGACATTACGACTGAAATATCGACCGACTTCCATTGAAAAAGACGACAAGATTTTGTGGGATTTCAGGAAGTTTGGTTCACTACGAACTTTTGATGCAAGGGGGAGACCAATGACAGAGTTGCCATCTTCAATTGGAAACTTAAAACATCTGAGGTATTTGAACCTTTCCGATGCTCATATCAAGCAACTTCTTGATTCAATTTGTAGTCTCTTGAATTTGCAAACATTAATTCTAGACAACTATCAAAAACTTGAGAGATTGCCCCAGAAAATGATGTACCTGAGAAGTCTCCGACATGTTTTTCTGAAGTGGTGTCGGTTAATTGAGATGCCCCCAAAAATTAGGCAACTAACTAACCTGAAGACATTAATTGTATTTGTTGTGGGTAAGAGCATTGATTGTAGTCTCCTAGCTGAATTGAAATGCTTAAACCTTGGAGGAGAACTTTGTATCGAGCACCTTGAGAGAGTGGGAAATCCAATGAATGCAAAAGAAGCCAATTTAGTGGGAAAGCAAAATCTTAGTCGGATGGAACTAAATTGGGAATATAGTTTGGCTGAATCTGAATCTGAATCACAAGAAATTGATGAATCTGAATCACAAGAAAATATTAAATTTGAATCATCCGAAAATATTGAATCTAAATCACAGGAAAATGATGAATCTGAATCACATGAAAACGTTAAATCTGAACTAGTACTTGAAGCCCTTCAACCCGATCCAAACCTAAAGGCGTTGGTTGTAAGAGGGTACAAAGGTACTCGATTCCCGCTCTGGACGAGGGGTTCAGATCTTAAAAATATAGTTAATATCCAGCTCTACAAGTGCAACAACTGCTTGCAACTTCCACCATTTGGACAACTACCTGTGCTACAAATCCTTGAAATTCAAGGAATGGATGAAGCATTGGAGTATATTGAAAACGAATATCCTGGCGGTGGAGGATTCCCCTCTTTGGTAGAACTTGATGTTTACTATTGTCTGAATTTGAAAGATTTGTCAAGGGAGAAGGGAAGAGAGCTGTTCCCACATCTTCAAAAGATATGCATTAGTAATTTAAATTGAGCTTGCCGCATCTTTCGTCTCCTAAAGAATTGTGGTTCAGCGGCAAGTGCACAATGGTACTAAATTCAATATCAAATCTTAAAAGTCTCACTTCCCTAACTATTGGTTATGATAAAGAGACGGTTTGTTTTCCAAAAGAGTTTATGAGGAACCTTACTCTTCTTGAGTCACTAGTGATTAAGTATTGTGAAGAGCTTAAAGTGTTGCCTGAAGACCTTGCAAGCCTTAGCACATTAAAGTCATTGGAGATCCTACGATGTCCAAAGCTCGAGTCTTTGCCAGAGGAAGGGCAACGAGGCCTTGAATCTCTCCAATTGTTGCGCATTAACTACTAGAAAGGTTATGTAAGAAGGAAAGGGATAGGATTGATACAAAATTGTGCACATGCTAGATGTCTCTACTTAATATTTTTTCAAGGTATATGATTGTTCTTTTACTCACCGTATTACTAGTTGGTTTATAGCTGTGATATACTAGATTAAATAAAATAGCCAAGGGGTAACCCGCTTATAAATAAATAATGTAAAACAAAAAATATTTTTTTTCTCAAAATAATAAATTATACCAAACCTAACTTTTTAACCTTTCATGAATTAACATTCACGTAAATTTGTTCAATATCTAAATTGGAAATTGTATATTTTCTCCAATTCACAAAAGTTGTTAAACAAATTAATCTCAATTTGATCGAGATTTCAACATTAAGGCTCCATTTGTTTCGCTGTAAAATATTTTTCATGTAAGATGATTTTGCTCAAAAATAAATTTTTATTTTTATTTTATGATGTTTTGTTAACACTAAAATATTTTCTACAACAAAAAACCTTAATAGAGAACCAATTATAGAGAAACTTTAAAAATAAAAAGAATAAAGAAAAGTGATATTCATATAGAATTGAACACAAATGTTGTGGCAAAGACACTGCAAATTTTGTTTTTTACTAAGTGGATATAAATGTAACATATCATTATGTATAGAAATTTTGTATACAAATTATGTTTGTATATCATTATTCAATGAATAAAATAAGATAATGATTGAATGCAACAAAAACAATAACCCTAAAACTTAATTTCAATCAATTGTTCAACAATAATATATGTATAAGTGTATATATATATATGTAGAGAGCAAGAGAGAACAAAAATGTTCAGTGTGTATGAAAGCACTAAGGCTTGATATGTACTTTGAATAGTATTGACCGTGATATTTCATGGCGAAACAAATGGCGCCTAAGACATTGGGTGTAATCATGCACCAGGACTTGTGTGATGAATTGGTTACCTCTCATGACAAAGATTTGTCACAAAATTGATTAGACTTGAGCTGTTTGGCATGATTCATAATTTGAACTTCAATTTCCATTGTCAATCACAATTATTGGTTTAAAATGGTTACTTATTTTCTTTTAATTGTTTTTTGTGTTTTTTTATTTTTATTTTATTTTAAGAAAGCTTGCTGAAACTAAATTTTCACATTCAAGTGTAACCAAATTACTTGAATTGAAAGAACTTATCTAATGGTTTGTTTATCTAATGGTTTGAAGAAGATGAATCATTTGTTTTGAACTTGGTTATATTTGAAGAGCAAAAACCATTTACTTTTTTAAATCTGAGCAATCTAAGATGGTCTATTTGAATTGGTTTTGCTTCAAAATGGCCTTAGAAGCATAAATGTCTAACGATTACTTTCTATGCTGAAGGTATGAATTTGTTGTTTACCTATGACAGGAATTGCCAATGTCTAGGATTCTGAGCGCATTGAGACAGCACCAATGATTGAGAGTGCATTAAGTTCTCCATGATTCAGAGATTGAATTTTCTGTCTTTATAGGTTTTTGTTTTCTTTTGTTTTTCTTTGTGTCATTGGAGGGTAATTTGATTCATTTTCAAATATGTAATAATTTATTGCTTTTGTAATAGCAGGTGCTGATAGTGGCTGCTGCTAGGATTGAAGTGGTTGTGGCATCGGAAGCATTGTCGGCAGGAAGGTTTTGGGCTGTTCATGGGTTTGAGGTTAACTAATAGGAGGTGGATTGAGTCAGCTGTTCTGTTATCCGACTCTGTCGTGTTAATTTCTCTTTTGCAGAATAAAAATTAAATGCAGGCCTTATTGTGAGTGTGTAATAATATTAGTGTGCAGGGGATTCTGGGGGCTCTAGCCTTCTTCTACATGGCCTCTTTCCGTGCTCTCTATTGTTTGCGATGATTTGGAGTTCAATATCTGCTATAACTATATGTGAGAATGTTAATTTAGATGTCTTTTACTTGTGTCATGAGTTTTGTGTGGATTATAGGTGTAACATTGGTTGATGATGGGATATATAATTATAATGACACATTTCATAATGTTGTATCCTTACAGACATTCCAACTACAACATCCAGAAAATGAGGTATTTGGACATTCAATCATACTAACTAATGTAATATCAAGCAAGCAAGTTCCTAATTCAATTTGTAGTATCTGGAATTTGCAAACAGTAATTCTAGACGAGTTTTGGAAACATGAGAGATTGCCCAAAGAACATGAAGTCCCTGAGAAGTCTCTGAGTCTAAAACTAAATTGGGAATATGATTTGGCTGAATCTGAATCACAAACATATCTTTGAATCTGAACTTGAACTTGAAAAGGTTCCCGATTCCGGCTCTGGAAAATGTAAGTGAAATTGAGGTCTACCATTGCAAGAACTGCTTAAAAGTTTCGTCAATCTTCGCAAGATGGAAATTCACCATTGTCCTTTTAATTGAGCTTTTTGTGTCTTTCGTCCCCAAAAGAAACTCCCAAGTCTTAACCCTTTGTAACTACCTTAATTCTGTTTTTTATTTTTTATTTTAAATTTATTATTATTATTTCAAATAAAACCTTAATATTTTAGGGTGTTGTTTAAGTGTGCAACCCACTTAAGGTTGCACACCATATGCAACCCAATTGCTAGCCGTTAGATTACAATAATTGATCATGACCATTGAATTGTTTAATCGTGAAAAAGTTGAAACCGAGGCAATCAGTTAATGCTTGTATTTGCATGATTGCATCCCACTCACTCTCTGTATTTCGTATCTATCTCTCTCTATTCTCCTCTCTATGTAAGATTGAGTCAGTGTAACCCTTGATTTCCATTAACAGCGAGAAGCCCCTCTTGGGTTGGTTCCATTGACGAAGCTCTGTAGGGAACAGTATAATGGGCGATTTCCAACAACAACAAAACTACAAGGCTGTGTTGGTTCCATTGCTGAAGTGAAGCCGTTCTCTGAAACTAGATATGAGGTATGGAGCTGTCTCCCTCTCTCTGTCTCCCTCTTTCTCTCTCTGGCCTCTTAACTTCAGCTATTTTCACTCAACTAAACCCCCATCCTAACTTCAATCGCTCTACGCTTCGCTCAAACGGAAACCCCTCCATTGGCAACTAACCTTTCTCTTTCTCAAGTGAGTGTTTGTGTTTGCACAAACAACTAAACCGTGTGAAAATGTTATGTTTGTATTTGTGTTAACATTTTTCGGTCATCAAGTAATTGTTTGTACTAATGTCATGTGCAGTATGCCCTAGCAGAAGTTAAAAGGGAAGGTGATGATTATGACATTCCAAATGAAGCAGATGACATTCGTTTGATCAATGAAAGACGGACGGAACCTTATCATGGTTGCGAAGCTGGTCCGAGCAATGAAGAAGCAACCAACATGAATGTTGAAGATGGCGGAGCCGATGTGAAAAAAGAAATGGTTGACGATGCTCATCTCAATGACATGGTTAGTGATGTTGAACGTGCTATTCTAGAACAGAAATTTGATTCGGTCGAAGATGGAGAAGCTTTCTACAATGCGTATGCTAAAGCCAAGGGATTTAGTATACGAAAATCCAGATTTAACACAAATAAAGAGGGAAAGGTTGTTAATAGGCTGTGGTTGTGTTCAAGGGAAGGTCAGAGATTACCAAAATACTTGGACCGTGTTGCTGAGAAGAGTAGAGCTCCCAAGGCACTAACAAGAGTAGGTTGCAAAGCCCAATTTCGCATATGGTACGATACAGATGTTGGTGAAGGAGGAAAGTATGTTGTGACTCACTCTGTCGCAGACCACAACCATGAATTGGCAGAACAACACTGTGTGATGTATCTGAGGTCACATCGCAGTTTAAACAGCGCTAACAAAGCTCAAGTAATGGCTATGTGCAACGTCGGTGTGAAGACGAGCCAAATCATGGACTATATGGTAAATCAATTTGGGTCTTATGAGCGTACGGATCTGCACAATCATATTCAAGCTGAACGTAGAGCAGAAGTTGAGGATGGTGATGCGCAAGGTGCGTTGGTTTACCTATGTGCAAAACTTGATGTTGATGCACGTTTTTTTTACAAGTATGATGTGTGTAACGATAACAAGTTACAAAATCTATTCTGGGCAGATTCGAAATCGCGGGCCGACTACGCAAAGTTTGGTGATGTGTTGATATTTGACTCAACTTACAGAACCAATTCATACAAGAAACCTTTTGTCATGTTGGCTGGTGTGACTAACCACTTTAGGACCACGATATTTGCATGTGTTTTGCTAGCTAATGAGACAATTGATACATACACATGAGTTTTGGAAACATTTATGGAGGCGATGGGCAATAAAGCACTTGTGTGACAGATGGGGATAAGGCGATGCGAGAGGCAATCAGAAGAGTATTTCTAGACGCAAGACATCGATTATGTAATTGGCATCTTGGGAAAAATGCTATTTCAAATGTTCACAAAAGTGGCTTTGCACATGCTTTCAAGCAGTGCATGGACATGGAAACGGATGAGACAAAGTTTGAGCATGGCTGGACGACAATGGTCGAAAAATTTGGACTTCAAACCAACAGTTGGGTGTTAGAGACATATGAGAAGCGTCATATGTGGGCTAAGGCATATATGCGTGGACATTTCTTTGCTGGGATGAAGAGCACTCAGTGCTAGGAGAGTATGAATGCTTATTTCAATCCCTTCCTCCAACACAAATTGAAGCTATATGAATTTGTTAGGCACTATGATTAGGCTTTTGCAAGGATAAGGTATAACGAGGCTGGAGATGATACTGAAACAAATAACACTTTTTCGGTATTAATTACTCCATTGCGAGATATAGAGAGACATGGAGCTGAGCTATTCACCCGAAATATATTTAGAATGTTCCGTGATGAAATCTTAGAAGAGGGGAAGTTGAATGTCAAGGACGTGTTCCCTTTGCCGGATGGCCAGAAATGCTACTATATTCATAAGTACAAAGTGAAGGATAGATCATGAATAGTAACACACTGTAGACACCCCATTTTTGACCGACCTTAAGACTCAGACGTCATCGTCTGTGCACTCGGTGATTGTGCATGTTTGTGCTCGTTTCGAGTTTCCGGAGCCTTCGGTTGAGCGCCTTGTCTCGGGACCTCTTAACTTCCTCCTCTTGACTTGGCTTTTGGACCATGCCTTGTTGCCTTTGCCTAGAGGGAAACAGAGGCCTATAGGCCACTTTTTGTAGCCGTAGACTACCTTTCCCTCTTGTAGGCCACTTTTTGTACCCGTAGACTAGTTTTCGAGCTTCCAGCTGAGTGCCTCGCCTTGCGGACTCTTGTCTTGCTTCCTTTTTGGTTTATTTTTGAACCAAACCCTGTTATCCTTTGCCTGGAGGGTGGAACAGGGGTGTAGACCAATTTCTCTCCTTGTAGACCACTTTTCTTCCTTGCCAGCCACTTTTTCTGGTTGGCCAGCTAGGGTGGGTGGTCTGTGGACAACCTAAGGTGGTCGGCAGCCTGCCACCACCTTTCCCACTCCCTGTAGACCCTCTCTCCCCCTTGCTGACCAGTTTCTTTCCTTGTAGACCACTTTTTCTGGTCGGTTGACTAGTGGGAGTGGTCGGCCGACCACTTTAATTGGTCGGCAGCCATCCTGCATTTTCTGCAGATATTTTCCTTAACAGCTGTGCCAGCTGTTAGACACATAAGGCATCCTCCATACACGTGTATGGAGGGATTGCTTCAAGTCTCTAGCTTGTTCAACAAGCTTGAGGCTTGGATTTCTATAAGAGGGAGGCTCTCTCTCCCTTTTCTAGGTTCAAAAAATTTGCGTAGAGCTATACATATATCTCTCTATATTGCTCCCTCTCTCTCTATATTTGTTCTATTTTGTGCTCAAAAGTGCCATTTCTTCACACTTTTGCACACAAACACCTAGTGAAGCACCTTCACTCTTGGGCTGAGGTTCTTGGAGGTTTGTTTGAAGCTCAAAAGCTTGGTTTTTGCCTCTGAAGGTGGCTGTTCTTGTTGTGGTTCTTCAAGGCTAAGCATATATCCCCTTTTAGGCTTGTTTTTGTATTAGTTTAGGCCACCTTTGCATGTTTCTTTTGGCTTAACTTTCAACTGAAAAAACTCTTGTTTTTAAGTCCTTAAAGTGTTTGTTTGACGCCTCTTTGGTATTGGGGGTGGTCTATCCCCTTTTGTGCCTTATTTGGCCTTGTTTTGTGCCATCACTTTAGGCCTTTGAGATCACCTTTGTTTGGCCTCTTCACCACTGAATTCCAGAGGAATTTCAATGGTGGAAAGTGTGTTTTAAGGCCCTAAATAGGAGGGGGTCATCCCCTCTCCTTGTGTCTTGGTTGCTTGCCTTGTTGGCCTCATGTTTGAGCTTGTTTTTCTAGTAAGTGTTGGCTTGTTCTCAGCCTATTTTGGGCCCTATTTCAGCATGGCATAACTCTGTTTTGGCTTGGTTTGGTTATCCCATGCATGCTTTTTACACTTGTAGTGTAATCTTGCCATTTAGCCTTAACATGTTCAATGTTTTGATCCATCATACTAGCCTCTTTTGGTCCTATCTCAGCATGTTTTTGGTGTTATTTTAGCATGCCTTAGCTCTATTTTGGGTCAGTTTGATTGCCTCTTGCATGCTTCATAACCTTGTAGTGCAATCCTTCCTATAACCTTAACATGCATCATGCTTTGGACCATCATTTTAGCATGTTTTTGGCTCCACTCCAACAAGTTTTTACTCATGTTTTGCCATGCTTAAGCTCTGTTTTCAGTGTTTTTGGTTGTGCATGCCTTGCTTTGTATAGCCATAGTGCAATCTTGCTCACTAGCTTAGTGTTTTGAGTCCACTAACATGCATTGATTGGGTATTTTCATGATTTAGCATCATTTAATATATGATTTCAGTGCATGAAATGTGGTCATACTCTCCCATGCTTCACTTTTTCAATGCTTTTGGGAGGTTATGCTTTGTGCCTCAATCATGAGCCAATTGGCATGCATGCTTGCCTAAGCTTTTTGGGCTACCATCTCAGTGTGTTTTGGGTCTTATTTTGCCATGATACAACTCTGATTTTTGTTGGTAAAGTCACCTCATGCTTGGTTTTGGTAGGTGTAGTGTAATCCCCCTTATTGGCCTTACATGCGTCATGCTTTATGCCTCCCATTCTAGCATATGTTGGCTATATTCAATCATGTTTTTGGCATTGTTTTGACCTACCTTAGGACTGTTTTGAGTCACCTCGGCCCTTTGGGGCTTGCTTAATAGGGCTATGGTACAAGTGCCTTTGCTAGCCTTAAGCTTTAAGCCTCCTAGCATGCTTTATTTGTGATATGTGCATGATTCGGCATCATTTCTTACATGATTTTAGAGCATATTTCAGTACCACACTCTCACATTTTCCACTCTTTCATTGCTCTTGAGGGTTATGCTTCATGCCTTGTTTGTGAGCCAATGTGTATGCATGCTTGTATATGCTTTTAGACTTCATTTTCAGCATGTTTTGGCCATTGTCTTGGCATGCAT